AACAACCGAGATGTAAGTTCATTTAAATTTTTACTTGCTTGAGGTACACTGTCCCATGCACTGTAAAAATGTTTATAAGATGGCGGTAAAGTCATAAGAATTTTAGTTAGCAACATATTGTCAGAGATTTTCTCTCCCGATAGAGCGAGTTGGTTTTGAAGATTCTGTAGTTTGCTGATATGCGTCGAAATGTCATCTGTAGGCTCTTTTACATAACTGAAAAATTTATTTTGTAATAAATGTATACCTGCTTCAGATTTTTGCTCGTAGATACTTAATAATTTGTTCCACATATCATATGCTGTACTACAATTTAGCAAATATTGTAACGGTCCATTTTCCAATGACGTGACGATTAATCTTTGACATTTACTATCAGCCCTTGACCACGCTATTCGTTCTAACTGAAACCTTTTCTTGGCATCCTCTTCTTTCTCGGAGGTTGCTATTGTATATACTGGCTTTTTATAATCTCCTGTAATTATACCGCTTACCTCAAATGAATTAATTATTACCTTCATTTGAAACTTCCAAAGTGTCCAGCCTTCCGAGTTACTCAGCTTTGTAATCTTCAGTGACTCGTCCATAGTTAAAAGATAACGTACTTAAAAATAGTACTTACTGAACAATTGGAATAAGTGAATTTTAACTACATAAAATACTTAGCCTTCTGATACTCCACTGTTGTGCCTGAGACTATGTGTCTGGGCCAATAACCTATTGCGATATACGCCTGTATATCTTGGTGGAAGTTAGTATTTAAGTAGAAAATAAAACACAACAATAATATGTTTAACACAATACTATTAAATATAAAAACACACACAGTATAGAGAATAATATATATACAACGTACGTTTCAATTATAACAGCAGCCGTAATAGAATGGTAAATCCAACACCTTAATACTATGTCTTATATACTATACAATCTAGGTTACAGACGTAATTGGTCCTTGTATAAACAACTTAAATATTACTCATGATTTCATCAGTGTACACTTATAATACCATATAAGGTTATATAATATTTATTACTTATCCATGACCCAAATAAACAATATTAATTATATTCAATAATATGAATAAAATAAATTAATAGGAATAGCTAGGCATAGGAATTGTCTTATTATATGTCGTCATGAAAATAAGATATGTACAGAAATCAGCCATACTGATGAATGTGATGGGTTTTATTGTTTTAGAAGACACCTACCTTTTTAATTTGTATTTTCTTAAAGTATGATGTCTTGAAAATATTATCTGAAAATTTTATGTTAATCAAAGGAATAGATAACTCGATGTAAGTAATTAAATAATTTATTTTTGTATACATGAATCGAGTATAAAACTTTTCAAATAAGTTTTTTCTCGAAACTATTTCTTCAAAGACGGTGACCACTGTAATTCAAAAACTACTTCACAGATTGAATGAAATTTATATAGCTTATTAAAAGCATAAAAAACTAGTGCCTGATCAAAGGTTTTTTTTTATAAAAAATTATATTTTTTATAAACAATATGTTGTAATACTATACATACATATAGTATCAGAGTGCGAGTAGTGATGATAATCAAGTATTCAACACAAATAAAGTTATTACAATAATAGATATATTATACATAGAATATATACAACACAGTGAAACAATAGTTCTATTCAGTTTATACATATTACAATAGTAATATGTATAGACTGAATAGAAATACTGAGCCCCGAGCCCTTAGACCAAATACTATTTATATTAACCCACAAGGTTGCACGCGTCTACAGACACACGTGTGCTTACAAAAACAACTTTGTTTTTCTATAACATTTCCTGGTTAACAACTACGTATTTTTATTATACAGATAAACAACATATTTATATATTGTGAAATACTTCTTGATATATAGAATATTAATTATTATTCCAACACACCCCCTTAATTAATATTTTCTTAACACTATATTGATCTTCTGTGATCCTCTTCACGCCTATGATTGACCGTAACTTTTCAAGTCTGTCCTTGGCTAATGGCTTCGTGAAGATGTCAGCTAGTTGGTTTTCTGTTTCTTTGTACTGCAGTTCAAATACACCTTCTTCAAACTTCTCCCGAATGAAATGATAACGAACATCAATATGTTTTGACCTCTTGTGAAAAACTGCATTCCTAATCAAACGAATTGTACTTTGATTATCTATATACAAAATAGGTTTATACAATCCCTTTTCATTAGTTAATTCAGTTAACAATCTTTTAAACCAAATTAAACTTCTTATCGATTCGCAGCTGGCGACGAACTCAGATTCAGTTGAACTCAGAGTAACTGATGCTTGACGTTGTGAATTCCACTCTATTGTACAAGGTCCCGCAACAAATAAATGTTCCGAAGTAGATCTTCGTGTTTGAATGTCGCCGGCATAATCCGAATCGCTGTAGACACTCAAAAATAAATTATCATCTGATTTATAACACAAACCATAATCTAATGTATGTTTAACATAACGCATTATACGCTTGACCATTTGCCAGTGTGCATTTGTAGGTTTTGCAAGAAAACGACTTGCATAATTAAGTGTAAACGCTAAATCCGGTCTTGTTACTTGTGACAGAAATAACAGTGACCCTACTGCTTGTCTATAAAAATTATTACCTGGCTGTAATGCCTGCGTATCTGTGTTATCGAATGACGTGTCTGTTCGAGATATGGGGACAGAAACTTCTTTAGAATTATTCATATTAAATCTTTCAATAATATTATTTGCATACTTGGCCTGATGAATGAATAATGAACCATCATTTTGTTTCTCTATTGACATACCTAGGAAATTATCTAAATCTCCTTGTGTGATTTGAAACTCTTGTTGTAAACTTGAAATGAGTTCTTGTGATTTTGCAATACTGTTTGAAGCAATTAAACCATCATCGACGAATATAGCTAAAATAACTATTTCATTATTATTATGATTTATATACACACATGGATCTGAATCAGTTGGATTAAGATTATATTTTTCTAGAAAATGTCTAAATCTAAAATTCCAATTTCTTGGTGATTGTTTTAATCCGTACAAACAGTTACGTAATCTACATACTCACCCGAGTTGTCATTAAAACCCAATGGTTGATCGATGTAAAATTCTTCATCTCATTCTCCATGAAGAAATGCCGTTTTCAGGTCGAATTGTTTGAGTTCAAGTTTCTTAGCCGCAGAAACCGCTAATATTGTACGTATGCTTTCATATCGGCATACTGGACTAAAAACTTCTCCAAAATCTACGCCTGGTTTTTGTCTTGACCCGTTAACCACCAAACGCGCCTTAAATCTCTCGACTTGACCATTTACATTGTACTTAATTTTAAATACCCACATATTGTTTAAAACACTTTTATTTATCGGTCTGTCGACAAGTTCCCACGTTTTATTTTCAGTTAATGACTTAAGCTCGTCATTCATTCTCGTCATGCATCTAACTTTTGACGTTTTTCCTTGGGTACATGTACATACACTTTAGTTCCAAAAACTCTTAAGTGACTTATGTCAGGCAATTTATTATAATACAACTCATATAGATTTTTATTATTAATTGAGCTTTTACCTGTGAGATTCAAAGTATAATTAGCGTATGATATACTTTCTGCCCATAATGATAAATCCATATTTCTGGAATATAAAATTGATCGACCAGCCTCCACCAACGTACGATTTTCGCGTTCTGAAGAATTCTGTTGTGGTGTGTAGGCTATTGTTTTCTGATGACGGATTCCATACTTGATAAATATTCCTAAAACCTGTTTATTAACAAACTCTCCGCCGTTGTCCGAACGTATTGCTATTATTTTATTACCTGTCTCATTTTTAAAACATTTAATAAACAATTCAAGTTTGTCTTTAACTTCATTTTTATGTTTTAAGAAATATACAGTTCTAAAGTGTGAAAAATCATCTTTAAAAACAAGATAATATTTTGACCCGCCTAGAGAATCTGTCTGGAAAGGTCCACAAAGATCAGTAAATATTAATTCTCCCACTTTTTGTGATTTGTCCGTACGACTTTGAAATGATTTTCTACTATGTTTACCCATAATACATGCCTCGCATGTGAAGTTATTGTCACTCTACACCTTAATATTATGTTTAAGTAAACAACTTCTTACGTAACCAATTTTAGTATTAGTATTACTAATATTAAATGTACAACGCATCATTTTTAAGAATTAATTTTATTGATTTTACATGACATATAATGATCTACTATTAAGGCAATTTTTATTTGATCGAGTTACCTAAACTTATCCTATAAAATACAATGTAACGTTCACGTTTATTAGAATATGGACAATAAACATCCAAGTGCCATAAGATTTGAAGATTAAAAAGTGTACTCTATCTAAAGTCTCTTACTTAAACTCGAAAATATCTTAATTATGCAGAAGTGTTCTGAAATCATTTTTAAATAATATTAACATATGCTATATAATTATAACAGTTTATTGGTAATATTTATTTACACAGTTTTCGATTTAAGCACATATTTGTTCATTTTAGTCAAGAATAAAAAGTAAACTTATATGGGTACATATGTTTCTACCAATTAACACTAAATGTAAATACTAAATACATTGGTATCTATTGGTAAAGTTTTCAGTCTTAAGTTACTCAATTTAACAGTAAAACTAAATTGCCAAATTATATAACATGTTGAGTACACGTTAAAAACGTATAAAACACATTGGTTTCACTAAATACCTTTGTGCAAGTGTGTATGATAATAATCAGTTATAATATTTAATAATGATAAGAAAACTAATAAAAATATAATATATCTGATATAAATCCTAAGTAAAAAATTTGCAAAAAATTAACAAATCGATTTTTGAAAAACTATTTTGAAACTGCCAAATAGCCACGTGAGGTTTATGAATCTATGCGCCGTGTGCTTTTGCTTGAAGACTTTTGAGAGAATCTTGGCGACCATATGATTTATCACAGACTGAGCATTTGTGTCGTAACCCACCAATATGTATACGTGCATGTCTCTTAAGGTGATATTGTTGAATGAACGGTTTTCCACAGACAACGCATTTAAATGGTTTCTCGCCGGTATGTGTTCTTTCATGAGTGTTGAGTGAAGACTGGACACCAAATGTTTTTTCACAGCAATTGCATTTAAAAGGTTTAACTCCGGTGTGTATGCGTTCATGAGTTTTTAGGTGAGCTTGTCTACCAAATGTTTTTTCACAGACATTGCATTTGAAAGGTTTTTCTCCGGTGTGTGTTCTTTTATGAGTTTTGAGGTTACATTGTCTATTAAAACATTTTTCACAGACATCGCATTAAAGGGTTTCTCTCCGGTGTGTATGCGTTCATGAGCTTTGAGGTGATATTGTAGAACAAATGTTTTTTTACAGATATCGCATTTAAAAGGTTTCTCGCCATTATGTATACGTGTATGTCTCTTGAGATCAGAATGTTGAATGAAGGTTTTTTCACAGACATCGCATTTAAACGGTTTTTCACCAGTATGTATGCGTTCATGAGCTTTGAGGTGATGTTGTCTACCAAACGTTTTTTTACAGACATCGCATTTAAACGGATTCTCGCCGGTATGAATACGTGCATGGTACTTGAGATGAATTTGTCGTTTGAATGTTTTTTCACAGACAACGCATTTATATGGTTTCTCATCGGTATGTACACGTGCATGTCTCTTGAGATCAGAATATTGAATGGAGGTTTTTTCACAGACAACGCATTTATAAGGTTTCTCACCAGTATGTATGCGTTCATGAATCTTGAGGTGAGATATCTGACCAAATCTTTTTATACAGTCATCGCATTTATAGGGTTTCTCGCCAGTATGTATGCGCCAGTGTCTTCTCAGGTTTGATTTTGATGAAAAAGTTTTCACACAAATACCACAATTAAATAGACCATATTTGTTTTGAGTATACTTTTTGATTCTGCTGTTACGATGATTGACTTTATTTTTTTGAGGTGCTTTCTTTTCAATGGAAGTACTAGAATGTGATTTCGCAATATGCCGGATTATATTACTTTTGGTTATAAACTCCTTTGACATATATTGCAGTCGAACCGACGTAATTTGTGTATGTTTTTCTCAGAATCGTTTTCTATAGTTTTGTTCAAACTGCAATCCATGGTTTTTGTATTGTTTGAGGTATCGGTCGCTTTACACGGAAAATTAATACTGCAACATGTATGGAACATAATAGATTAATTTAAGACAAATATATTTTGATATTATACAGCAAGTATTAATATTACTAATATTAAATGTACAACGTATCATTTTTAAGAATTAATTTTATTGATTTTACATGACATACAATAATCTACTATTAAGGCAATTTTATTTGATTGAGTAGCCTAAACTTATCCTATAAAATACAATGTAACGTTCACATTTGTTAAAATAAGGATAATAAACGTCAGAATAACATAACATTTAAAATCTAGAAAGTCTACTATGTTTTTAGTCTACTTTTACATTGAGTACCTTGAGACTTTTTAATGACCGACTTCTTTTAACCCTTAACTCGGCAGAAATAAAAGTTTCACATTGAACGACTAAACTTAATTTTTAACATGGATATGGCTTTTGGATCGGGGACATTAAAAAAATCTTTGCGTGTGGCGCTATTAAGAGGATGTTTTGTAAATGAAAGAGCTGATAAATAATTTTTAATGTCTGGCTAAAAATTAGAGATATTATAGATAAGATAAGATATAAAATATACGATATTGTAGATACAAACTTAGAGATAAAATATTAGAAATAAAATATAAGAGATAAGAAACGAGACATATCCATATAATAAATACCTCCTTGAAAAGAAAACAAAATGTATCTAATTAATAATTATTTTTAAAAAGTTTTAAGTATTTTACTATGAGGACATTACTTAAAGTCTATTTCATTAAAATTTTCTGTTCAACTTTTATATTTTATTTATGATAATTAAAAAATGTATTTAATAAAAATTAAACAAAACCCCATTACTTATTACATAATTTTTTTTATAACTGTTAACATTAAGTATTTATTTTAAAAAATCACACCTTTTTTTTTTTCATGTGTCGATGTATCGACGTGGATAGCGTGGAAACTAACAGTTTTTTTTTACTATTTAATACCCGTAGAGATCATTTTTGAAATTTTTTTTTTTAATGAACATCTTTTTTATTATAGCGTATATCTTAAGATAGACCACCTCATTGAATAATTCAATAGATGTATCATTAAATTTACACTACTTCATCGACCTATTAAGAAAAAAAACAATAATGCTATCTTACTTAATAGTTTATGATTTTGTAGAGAAGATATTAATTATTATACTATATTTATATATATATATATATATTTATATATTAAAAATTATATGTAATCGCTTCATTTTTTTCATTTTTTTTCTTCATTTTTTGATACTTTGATTTAAAATTATATTGATAAAAGGCAGATGCGGTTTTAATTAAAATAATATATTATTATATTAACAAGCAGTTCCTAATATAAGTTTAATAATAGCGAAACGCTAACATCGATACCACTGATGGGTTTATGGAGGAGGATAACATAATTACAAAAGTATTAAAGTTTTGTTCAAGAAAAACAAAATGGTAATAAAAATAACCTTACTCATAATTATTGTCGACTTCATTCTTTACTAAACACTTATTTGTTGTAGAAATTTCATTGTTTATGAACTGCATATCAGACGGTTTAGTTTCATTGACTTCAAACGATTTTTCCAACAACTCTTCTTCTGTTTCATCATTTTCAGGTTTAATTTTCAATATATTAAACCGCTTCAAAACTCTATAATTGACATTTAACATTAGTTGTAATTCTGTGCCATATATGCTAAGAGGTTTAATAGGACAACTAAATGCACAATTTCAACTATTTTATTTAGTAACAAATATAGTCTACTAATGATATAATAAAGATAATTTAGTTTACATTCTAAACTCGAAGATTAATCATATTATAAATTTTAAAAAAATTAGATAGCCTAATCTATTCATAAAAAATGTCTATTTAACTTAAATGAAATTTCTGATAGTAAAAAAACATGAATTTTAATATATAGTTTTTGTAATAAAAAATGACATTTATTCGCATTTTTTTTAACTTAATAAAAAAATGAAAAATAATTGTAAAAATGTTTTCTATATATTTATATAAATAACTCGGTAAGTATCGTACAAAACTTACGCTAACATAATGTGGTGCTGCAGACAACATACCCACAAATTAAATGTTTACAATTTTTTTTTTTTTTTAATATTTTAATGGATTTTTATATTGATAAGAGGTAGATGTAGTTTTAAAACAATCAAACTAATATTAAATGAACAATTGGCTCCTAAAATAAGTTTAATGTTAGCGAAACTCTTATATTGATACCATCAGGCACATGTTTTAATAGTTTTGTTCAAGATAAAAAAAAAGGTAATAAATATCGCCTTACTCATAAGTATCATCGACTTCATTCTTAACCAAATACTCCTCTGTTGTAGATATTTCATTGGTTTTGAACAGCACATCTAACGGTTTTGGTTTAACGTCTCCGAACGTTTTTTCAACAGAGTATTCTTCTGCATCGTCATTTTCAGGTTAATTTTGAACATATTATACAGCTTCAAAACTCTATAATTGACAAATTACAAGCATGACTTATAGGTAAGAAGCTAACACAATAAAGATCAAAGCTAGACGATTGCCCATTTTGCCAACTAGATTAATTAAAAAGGGTGTTGATCCCATATTACTCTACTCAACTCCGGATAAATAATAAGTAACAAGCCACCAAATAAATTATGATTCTTTTTATTCAAAAGCAGTGTTTTAAGTCCGCGGCAGACAGTAAACACGGCAATAATGTATATAAATTAGAAATACAAAACAATAGGTACTCACACAACGTAGAACCGTAATCCGCTTTCCAGGGCTGCTACTGAAAACTTATAATAAACTATTGACATGCAAGACAAAACTCAATTGTAACGCAACTTGAAATGAAATAAAGAAACACAACGCAGTACGTTAGATGTTTATCACAGAATTCGACCAAGTAATTATGATTAAAATCTAGATATTCTCACGAAGCGGGGCCGTGGCGACAATACAGAAAACCAATTGTACCTAGGGCGCTCAATCTAATTGTTTCACTAGTTTGATTCACAGAACTTCAGCACAGTGTACAAATATTAAACTTAATAAAAAATCAAAACTTTTATTTCAATTGTGATTTTAATTCAAACTGCACAGTGCACGATACAACGCAGAAATTGTATGGATAGATTTGTGATAGTGTGCGTTTGTTTAATAACGAGTGATTGCCACAGATGGAGGTACTTTGTAGCGTGAGGGTAAACTGTCGTGCATTTTAAGAGGCCAATAAATTAAATTCCAAACTCTTGTATCAAAGCTTTTTAAAGGAAATAACACAATAAAACCTTTTTTTTCCCAAATGCATTATTTAAAAACTATAAACAATTATACTATATTTCTAAAAGTCTTTAACCATTAGACTGTATTAGTCTAAGTGAAATATCCTTTTCATTTTAACTACACTGCCTTAAACGAGCCTCAACATAGACATAGTAATTTAACAACCCGTCAAAGTAAATATATCACTATCAAAGAGGCGGATAGCCGATGTCTTAGACGAACATGTTTAGCCACGTCAAAATGGTGCATGCCCAAACAAAAGTGGCACTTGCGAAAAGTTCTTTAAACATAGACGATATTTGACGAACACTTAAACAGATTGTTTATTATAGCCATATAATTTATCCATTTACATAATCTTTTAAAATTCCAATATTATAGTAATTATTTGAAAAAAATGTTTATAAAAAATCCAATATAAATCTCAATATAAAACTAATGTTGTTACTCTCAAACACGGTATTATGTTTTCATGGGAACTAATCACACATATATATTGAACAAAATTATTTAATAATAAACGTATATATTGAAGTAGGCATATTCTCCTCTATTTCCCGAATGACATTTATTAATAATGGTCAGGTTTGGTTTACTGTCGTTCAAACTTAATAATTCTTCGAATTAAAAAACGAAAAACTTATTCTAAAAAATATGAATGAAACTAACATAATATAATCATAGTTGACGGAATAATAATACATTTTATTTTGAATTTTAAACATGGTCCACATAATTCAACGCATAAAAATAAACAAATATTTTAAATTAAAAATCAATTTTAAAATACAAATTAACATATACTATAAACAATTTTTCTTAAAAACCATCAGTAACTAAAAAAGACTACTAACATTTTATAATAAAAAATAAGAATAGTAACAATATTTTTTAGCATATTGTGTGTGTAGATTGTTAAAATTAAAAAATTCATTATAATAATGTACAGTGTACGAAAACGCAGAAATTGTATGGACAGATTTGTGATAGTGTGCGTTGGCTTGATAACGAGTGATTGCCACAGATGGAGGTACTTTGTAGCGTGAAGGTAAACTGTCGTGCATTTTAGGAGGCAAATAAATTAAATTCCAAACTCTTGTATCAAAGCTTATTAAAAGAAATAACACAATAAAACCTTTTTTTTTTCAAATACTTCTATATTTTACGATTTAACAACACTAAACAATTATACTATATTTCTAAAAGTGTTTAACTATTAGACTGTATTAGTCTTAGTGAAATATACTTTTTATTTTAACTACGTTGTCTTAAATGAGCCTCAACAAAGGCGGTGTATTTTAACAACCCGTCAAATTAAATATGTCACAATCAAAGAGGCGGATAGCCGATGTCTTAGACGAACATGTTGAGCCACGTCAAAATGGTGCATGCCCAAACAGAAGTGGCACTTACGAATAGTTCTTCAAACATAGACGATATTTGACGAACTCTTGAACAGATTGTTTATTATAGTCATATTATTTATCCATTTACATAAATCTTTTAAAATTCCAATATTATAGTAATTATTTGAAAATTTTTTTTTTAAAAAATCCAATATAAGTCTCAATATAAAACTAATATTATTACTCTCAAACATGGTATTATGTTTTCTTGGAAACTAATCACACAAATATATTAAACAAAATTATTTTTACTAATTATTTAATAATAAACGTATATATTGAAGTAGGCATATTCTCCTTACTTTCCCGAATGACATTTATTAATAATGGTCAGGTTCAATCTTAATAATTCATCGAATTAAAAAAACGAAAAACTTATTCTAAAAATATGAATGAAACTAACATAATGTAATCATAATTGACGAAATAATAAAATATTTTATTTTGATTTTAAACACGGTTCGCATAATTCAACGCTCAAAAATTAACAAATATTTTAAATTAAAAATCAATTTTAAAATACAAATTAACATATATTATAAACCATTCTCTTCAAAACCATTTGTAACTAAAAAGACTACTAACATTTTATAATAAAAAATAAGAATAGTAACAATATTTTTTAGCATATTGTGTGTGTAGATTATGAAAATTAAAAAATACATTATAAAAATATAAATACTAAATAATTCATGTGATCCGTCGAAAAAATAAATTAAAAACTAATACTTATGTTATTGATCTGTTAAACGATAGTAATAAATTAAATATTATAAGAAAACTAATAAAAGTATACTAACTCTGAAATAAATCGTAAGTAAAAAAAATTGCAAAATAATAACAAATCGATTTTGAAAAACTGCCAAATAGTCACGTAAGGTTTATGAATCTATGAGCCGTGTGCTTTTGCTTGATGCCTTTTGAGAGTATCTTGGCGACCATATGATTTGTCACAGGCTGAGCATTTGTATCGTACCCCACCAATATGTATGCGTTCATGAATTATGAGATAGGACTTTAAACTGAATGTTTTTTCACAGACATCGCATTTAAATGGTTTCTCGTCGGTATGTGTTCTTTCATGAACTTTGAGGTTAGATTGTATATTAAAACATTTTTCACAGACATCGCATTTAAAGGGTTTCTCTTCGGTATGAATACGTGCATGGTTCTTGAGATGAGTTTGTTGACTGAATGTTTTTTCACAGACAACGCATTTAAACGGTTTCTCGCCGGTATGAATACGTGCATGTCTCTTGAGAGCAGATTGATGACTGAATGTTTTTTCACAGACATCGCATTTAAATGGTTTCTCGCCGGTATGAATACGTGTATGTCTCTTGAGAGCAGATTGATGACTGAATGTTTTTTCACAGACATCGCACTTAAAAGGTTTCTCGGCGGTGTGTATGCGTTCATGAGTTTTGAGGTGAGATTGGTCGCAATTGGACTGTGTTTTACACGAAAAATGAATACTGCAACACGTTTGAAACAAAACAAATTAATTTAAGAAAAATATATTTTGATGTTATACAGCAAGTTTTAATATTAAATATACAACGCATCCTTTTTAAGAATTAATTTGATTAATTTTAGATGACATACAAAAGTCTTCTTTACTCAATTTTTATTTGATCGAGTTGCCTAAACTTATTCTACATAATACATGTAACGTTCACATTTATTAGAATATGGACAATAAACATCCGAGTGCCATAAGATTTAAAACTTAAAAAGTGTACTCTATCTAAAGTCCACTTTTACATTGAGTACCTTGAGACTTTTTATGACCGACGTCTTTTAATCTTAAACTTGACAGAAATAATAATAAATTCTCATAAACGACTAAACTATATTTTTGACATGGATATGTCTTTTGGCTTAGGGACATTAAGAAAATGCTTGAATGACGCTGAACGCTACCGAGGGAAATGTGTGCGTGTGGCGCGATTAAGCGGATGTTTTGTGAATGAAACAGCTGATAAATAATTTTTAATGTCTGGCTAAAAATTAGAGATATGCGATTAGAGATATTATAGATAAGATATAAAATGTACGATATTGTAGATACAAAATGTAGAGATATAATATTAGAAATAAAATATGAGAGATAAGAAACGAGACATATCCATATAATAAATACCTCTTTGTAAAGAAAATGTAACTAATTAATAATATTTTTATAAAGTTTTAAGTATTTTACTATGAGGACATTACTTATAGTCTATTTCATTAAAATTTTCTATCAACTTTTAATTTTTATTTATGATAATTAAAAAATGTATTTAATAAAAATTAAACTAAACCCCATTAATACATTATTTTTTTTTTATAACTGTTAACATTAAGATTTTATTTTAAAAAATGACACCGGTTCGCATTTTTTTTTTATTTCAATGTATGAAAGTTTTCTATATATGTATATCAAAAAACCCTGTACTTCTTATGCCAACGCAAACGTACGCTAACATCATGCGATGCTGCAGATGTTGACCGGACATCAAACCCACAATTAAATGTTTTCACAATTTTGTTTTTTTGATACTTTGATTTAACATTATATTGATAAGAGGTAGATGCGGTTTAAAAAAAATATATTATTATATAAACAAGCAGTTCCTAATATAAGTTAAATAATAGCGAAACGCTAACATCGATACCACTGATGGGTTTATGGAGGAGGATAACATAATTACAAAAGTATTAATGTTTTGTTCAAGAAAAACAAAATGGTAATAAAAATAACCTTACTCATAATTATTGTCGACTTCATTCTTTACTATACACTTATTTGTTGTAGAAATTTCATTGTTTATGAACTTCATATCTAACGGTTTAGTATCAATGACTTCAAACGATTTTTCCAACAACTCTTCTTTTGTTTCATTATTTTCAGGTTTAATTTTCAATAAATTAAACCGCTTCAAAAATCTATAATTGACATTAAACATTAGTTGTATTTCTGTGCTATATATGCATAGAGGATTAGTAGGACAACTAAATTGAACAATTTTAATTATTTTATTTAGTAAGAAATAAAGTCTACTAATGATATAATAAAGATAATTTAATTTACATTCTAAATGCGAAAATTAATCATATAATAAATTCAAAAAAAATTAGATTAACTAATCTATTCATAAAAAATTTCTATTTAACATAAATGAAATTTTTGATAGTAAAAAAAACATGAATTTTAATATATAGTTTTTGTAATAAAAAATGACACTTATTCGCATTTTTTTTTAACTTAATAAAAGAATGAAAAATAATTGTAAAAATGTTTTCTATATATTTATATAAATAACTCGGTAAGTATCGTACAAAACTTACGCTAACATAATTTGGTGCTGCAGACAACACACCCACAAATAAAATGTTTACAAATTTGTTTTTTTTAATTTTTTAATGGATCTTTATATGGATAAGAGGTAGATGTAGTTTTAAATCAATCAATCTATTATTAAATGAACAATTGGCTCCTAAAATAAGTTTAATGTTAGCGAAACTCTTATATTGATACCATCAGGCACAAGTATTAATAGTTTTGTTCAAGATAAAAAAAAGTAATAAAAATCGCCTTACTCATAAGTATCATCCACTTCATTCTTTACCAAATAATCCTCTACTATAGATACTTCATTGTTTTTGAACAGCACATCAACGGAGTATTCTTCTGCATCGTCATTTTCAGGTTTAATATTCAACATATTATACCGTTTCAAAACTCTGTAATTGACATTGAACTTTAGTTGTTTTTCTGTACCACTTATGCAAAGAGGTTTAAATAGGACTACTAAATTGCAGTTTTAACTATTTTATTAAGTAACAAATAAAGTTATAATAATAATATAGTAAAGAATAATTTAGTTTACATTACTTGTAAAAACCACTGAGTTTTCAGTAGTATATTTTGTTCTTTTAAACATTTAAAACTTAATTTTAATTTACTCGAATTAGATAAATAACACAAAGCTACAAGCATGACTTATTGGTAAGAAGCTAACACAATAAAAATTAAAGCTAGACGATTGGCCATTTTGCCGACTAGATTACTTTAAAATGGTGTTGATCCCATATCACTCTACTCAACTCCGGATAAATAACTAACAAGCAACCAAATAAAA